TTAAATCACTCTAATTACAATTGAAATCAGCCCTCGCAGTTAGTCTAGGACTATTCGAGGCGAGGGCGATAAGGGAGAAAACTAGTATAAAATTTTCAAAAATTCACAGTTTTACAAGAAGGAAAAAACAAGAAAAAAAAAAAGCGATAAGAGGAAGAATACATAATATTAGAAAATTATTAAATAAATATTAAGATAATTATAAAATGATGACAAAGGTGTTCCTTAGTATGAAGCCTTTAGCTCGTCAATAATCTGATCGATATCTAAAAAATCGTCTGCTTTTTCTAAAATCTCGAGAGAGATGCTCTTGATCAATGTCTTGAATTTGAACTTATTCTGACTTTTAATAGAAGCAGGGAGACTATTCCAGATTTTAGCGCCCATAAAACGAAAAGAACGCCTACATGATTCAGTCCTGACGCCATCAACATAAATACATTTATTTGATGTTGATCGTGTCGTGTATCGATGGACATCTTCCAACGACCTGAATAAACAGTTCAAATTGTCTGGGACTTGACTGTTAAAAATACCGTGCATCATAATGCAAACCCGCTCAAAAAAMGTTGATGGGAAGTGAGTGTAACTGTAGRAATAATGGTACAGTGTGCTCTCAGTGTGCTCAGTGTGTTTGGAATGTTCATAGTGTAAATATTATTATTTGCTGGAACACACGTTTGCCTCAGGTATTTTAAACAATGATCATCAGTTGATATTGTGATCTTTTGTTTATACTTGTACATTTCTAAGGAACTTTTTTAATAAAGGTCTGACATTGTTTACACTAAATAGCGTAGACTTGATTGGTCTATCTTTCGTTCGTATTTCCCGCTATTTACCAGTGCGCGCAAGGCGCCAGTAAAAACCGCCAAAATTAAAGCAGTCCCAGTCTGAAAGCCACGTTTCTAAGGTTTATTTTGGCACCAAACATGGCGAAAAAAAATGGAAGAGCGAGGCCAATTATTCGCGTGAAACACGAGTCGTCGCCAGCCATTTCACCGTCAAGTTAGTGTTTTCAAATTGTACGATTTCTAAGGACGCTGTCTATCGTCTTCAATTAAAATAACTAAAAAAKYGCTGTGCTTCTAGMTCAATGTGTGGACTTTGAGAAATGATCTTTGAAAAATCAATGACATGTAAGGAAACACGATCAGCTACGGTGAAATTTCGCTACTTCGCAAATTTTCACCATGAAGTACAAGGGCAAAGGACACGCTCTTAACAATTTCGTGTTTATTTGGMTTTCCTACAATGGAATCAAGAATAGTTTCCCTCTAGGAATTCATCTTGGAAAACGTTCCAGGTAAAGCAGATCAAARGTTATTCTCAAATAGTTTTTTTGAACCGTACATTTCTTTGTAAAATTTAACAAACATGTTTTTGTGCTTTATGGGAAGTACCGCTGCTATTGCGGGCTCGTATGTCCGGATTTTCTGGCCATGTTATGAAGTCGGTGCTGGCCAGCCAGTAGATCACCCATGGCAGTTAAGAACAAAAATTGACATCACAAAGATAGAACACTTTGTAGAGTTCATCACCGCTTCAAATATTGTCCAGGACTTGCCTTTCSGCAGAAAGACTCTGAAATTATCCAATAATGTTGAAATAGAGAATCCCCATGTAATTCGCTCATTGATGCCATCTAGACTTATAGCTCAATACACTGAATACTGTAAAGAGAACTGCTATGCACCACTTTCAAGATAATCTCTTTTTAAAATACTTTCGGAGTCTTGTGTTGCATCAGTGAGGAAAAGTCTCCAGGGATTAGACAACTACGCAGCCGAAGGTGGTAGAGGTTTTGATGACCTTAGCACTATGATGAATACCTTGTTGAGCTATGACGCTTCAGAATTAGCCGTGCGAGAAAWCAAAGAAGAACTAAAGAATTTGTGAGGTTTCTTGCTTACGTTATTTCATAAATGAAATGAAAAACGTGAGATGAGGGACATGGCCCCCCTGGCTACCCCCTTGGATCCACCACTGAATGGTCATTTTTTGATTCAACTTTTGTTCTCTACTTTGCAGGTGTTAGACGCGGTTGTACTCAAATGCAGTCCACAAAACTGCCAGAAGATGTACGTGATGATGCACTATTTACTGCACACAATGCGCGTGATGCCATTAACCACTGGAAATCACACCAGYTGAGAATGGTTCACCAAGACCTCGCTCGAAAGGATATACTAGATGACCCACAAAATGAAATTAGTATTAATTGTCCAAGATTTTGCTATGAAATTTATTCCAACACAGTACCGAGAAACTCAAAAAGAATTCTTTGGAAAGAGAGGGATATCTTGGCATATTGCAGTTTGCCAAACAAGGTTAGATGGCCAGCTTTAAGCGCAGACCTTTGTGCACATAGTTGAAAGTGGGCTTCAGGAAAGTGAGACACTTATCCCCATAATGGAACATGTGTTTCAGACCTTAAAGAAAGAACATCCAGAATTGGAAAATGTTTACTATCGGCAAGWCAACGCCGGATTTTATCATTCGGCTGCCACAATTAGCGTGTAAGGTTCTACGTGAGAGGTCTWGGTTAAATTTGTGTCAATTAGACTTCTGCGATCCACAAGGTGGAAAAGGTCCATGTGACCGAAAAGCTGCACAGATCAAGTGCCACATCAAGGCCTAMTTCAATCAGGGACACTCGGTCACTACTCCTGACGAATTTTCTGCTTCCATCCAGTCAAATGGAGGAATATCTGCTGTTCGAGTTACATGTATTTCAGGCAAATCAAGCACAAGCTAAGTGGGATGGCATTAGCGGATATTCTAACTTTGCATTTTATGATGAAGKTGTAAGAGCATTCAAAGCATACGACATTGGAGAAGGGAAGTTTTGTTCGTGGTCCAATTTTGAATGTAAGTTGACTGTCAATTCAAATTTAACGCTGAAACGAGGCTTTCTATCAACTTCTATGACTTCTTTGGATTATTCTTGTATAGGCAATGCTGACAAGGTAATAACATGAATATCAGGGGAAGCTACTGCCGGAGATTTTGTCCCCGTACAGCAGAGAAAACKCTCAAAATCTTTACTCGCTGATACTGACGAATCAGCTGACGAAGAAAATGACGATCARACAACAAGCGGAAATTCTCAGGCAASTCCAAAGTCAAGTTTATTTGTGTGTCCAGAGGATACGGAAAACACCAATATAGGCTTGAACGAATGACCATGTTGGACAGAGCTAAGATAAGCTATACTCACCATCTAGAAGCGGGTTCACAAAAGATCATTACTATATCGACAGGTACACTCACACAGAGCGAGCATGTTCCTCAAAAGCTTTCAAAAGAATGGGGTCTAAAGGAAAGTGAAAAAAAGTACAAAAGGTTCAATGAAAAGCAAAAGAAGTACTGGAAAACAAATTTACGAATGGAGAAAAATCTGGCGTAAAATCGACGGGTGAGGATGTATCAAAAGAGGTGAGATACATTCGAGATGATAACGGACAGCGAATATTTTCCTTTGATGAGTTCCTTCGTCCTCAGCAGACTACTTCGTTTTTTTCTCGCATGGCTGCAAAAAGGAAAAAGGTCACCGAACAGGAACTTCAAGCAAAGAGCAGCCAGGAAGCCCAAGAAAAGCTATGCAGCGATGTTTTCAAGGTACTCAGTAAGAAAAGCCCAAAMCACCCAGTCCCTTTCTCCGGATACAACCTGTGTTTGTTAAAAGATGAAACTTTAAAYAATTCAAGATAACTCAGCTWAGGTCAATGGCTAATTATTTGGATGTAAAAGTTCAAAGCAGAAAGTCTRCCGACTTTATCGAAGCTATCACCAACTTTCTAAACAATTGCACCTGCAAAGCAAAAACATAGGTATGTATATTGWAATTTTTTGTATTTATTGTATATACAGTAGTATTTCATGTATCTGACTGAAAGAAAATAACAAAACATACTAACTTTGATCAAAACCACAACTGTAACCAGTTATAATAACCGAATCCCCCGCCGAATCATTGCTGAACAATATATCCGTTTGCGTAGTTTCAAAAACTAGTGCAGTGCAGATCCAAAAAAACCCTTCAAAAATGAAAAATATTCAGAAAAAACCTTTGATAGCGATAGAAGTGGCGAATATAACAAGATTTGTTAGCAATAGACAAATTTAAAGAAATTTATTCAGTTGTAAATCAGTTGTAATTAGGCAGATCGCCTAATTTGCATAATTGTTCATATGATGCCAAGCTCTGATAAAACTTACTTAAAACAAGCCAAGCTACTCCAGATTATGCTATTAAAGTTCTAAAWCACTTTAGAGGCATTTGGTATTCAATTTTGAAGTTTAAAATTGGTTTAGGGAAATATTTGGAACTAGATTAAGTTTCCCGTCCATTCGGCTAAACATGAAAATGAGTAATAAAGGGTACCATCCCCTGGAAACAATAATTGCGTGCCTGCGGAGATTGAAACGTAAAAAACTACTACAACACTTCTAATTGAAGTGTTGTTTTTGGATGAATCATCTTACTACCGTGGTTTTGACTCATTTAAACTTCGCCTGTTTTGGACTTCCGGTATCGAGTCGAAAACATACCCTATTCGATTAACGATTATTTGCTACTGGATATTATCAAATTTGGTAATTTTATGTTTTTCTCGTGTTAGAACATAAAAATATTCATGAGAAGTTTGACTACGAATAGTCTTTCGGGTTTTCTCTTAGAGCCTTATGAAGTTTGAGAATTTTTCAGTTTTTCGACTAAATTCGCGATCACCTAAAAAAATCTACAAACATTTTTTACGAAAAATATTTGTAGCAATGAGCTAAACAAATGATAGGGTTTATGCAGACAAAGTTTGAGGTGGTGTGATTTTTGTGTCATTTCCAACTTTGCTCGATTCTTACACGGAGTAGCTCTTAAACAATGTATTTTGTCATATGTTAATAATGATAAAATAAGTGTATTCATACCTTTCGCATTGATGAATAAATTACAGGTAGGTGTTTTTTTTGTAAGTGCTATTGTTAAGAAGACTTACCACATACGTTGCAACTCTTAATACACTTGACGAGCATGTAATCAGGATTGGTTTTGCAGAACCCATCAGCAGACCAAATTGGGCATTGATCAGGATCACTGTCGGAACATGCTATAAGATATAATACTAAGAGGTTATTAACCGAGCGCGAGGTCTGTACGGAAAAATATCAGACCGAGATCTTGACAGTACGGGCCGAGGTCTGATATTTCCCAGTATAGATCGAGAAAGCGAGGTTAATAACTCGTTTACTATATTGCTTTTACATCGTAGATTATGTAGAAGAATTACTCAAAGTATATAGGAGAAGTCTCACCGGTCAACTTCCAACACGTTGCCTCCCTCTATCTGATGGCAACGCTTTTCTCAAATATCTCACGATATGAGTAAAATCACAAAGAAACCATCATATTTTCAGTAATTGTCGGCTAAAAAGACGGGAATTTTGACTCCTTGTTTCATAGATTCAGTTTATTTTCATACACAATATATTATTATTACAGCTTATAACTCACAAACTTTCACTGATTTTTCTATCGTCGTGTGGATGTCGGACAATATAAAATTACAATTTTCTTTCTTTTCCAGCAACTGAGGAGTCATTGAATCGAGCAAAGTAGACTATAAGAAGAGGATTTCATTCTTGCCAAGACACCGTTGAGTAGTTTGTGTTCTGGCTTCTTTTGAGCTTTTGAAACTTGATATTGAGTTTTTCTTCCAATATAATCCTTTTTGGGCTATCTTTGAATTGTGGTGAATACTTATCGAGCATTTCTAACCTGGATTGAAGCCGTTGGCATTGAAAACAACTGTACGGTCAATTTGGAAAAGAGCGGGAAAGTCAAGTGCTACGCGAGCGCGGACAAAAAGGCGGGAGTAGTTGAAATAGAACCATCTTTCTTTCAGATCATTAAAAGATGGATGTTGTTTGAATTTTTTTATTACTTTGCCCAGTCCTCCTCGGCCGGCACGGTCTTAAAATGCAAGCACTTTTTTCATCCACGTTAGGTTTTTACGACTTTACACCGACTGGGACAACTTTGCTCCCACTGATAAAATTACATGGTSTGATGTCTGTCATTCAAGGAGATGAGACTACTAAACATTTTTGCTATTTGGGGCATGCTCWATCTCGTACCCAGCGCCACTGTCCCTCTTACTCGCAGGCTCACAGGCTCGACGAAAAACAGTGACTCTGGAAATTTCGAAAATTTCTCGCTCTCTGATATATTGGCTCGTAAAATAAACAGCTTGCCGGAGAGATAAGGAGGAGATAAGATTACTGGACATTTTGGCTATTTGGAGCATATGAAACCCAAATTTTACGAGAGGTTGGATTCTGAGTGACAACTTTGTATCGAGTTGATATTTTGAGAGACTTAGTTTTGAGCGGAAACAAGAATCAAGATTGAATACTTTTGATAWTCTTTGATCGAACCTTCTGTCGAGAATCAAGAGCGATTACTTATGAGTGAACCTTCTAATGAGAATCAAGTGCCAGAGGGAATTGAAAATCAAGAGCGAGTACTTTTCGAAAATGTTTCACGCACATCACGCGCCGATGACCCCGGCCCGATAAAATGAGTTTACACGCTCCCTCGGTCAACCAATAAGTCCTTCCGAACTGTTCAGTTAACTCCTTTTCGTATTTAACGTTTGAAATTAATGATTCTTTCAGAATCATAATTCAACTGGAGTTATTATTTAACATCGCTGCTTTCACACTACATCCTTGTTATTTTGCGAGACTTTGCCTACCCAATCAAAATGGTGTCAAAAACGTCACCTCAACTATTCTCAAATGTYTCAGGACCACTAGCAAAATGACAAGCAATATTGAGAGAAATCAAATATAACACTCGTGTAAACAAACAATATATACGACAGAAGAGAATTTMATGACCTTCAACTATTCACTCACTATCTAGATACGACTCCAACAGTATTGTAAAATTAAGACAAAAAAGAAAAAATCGCAAAATTTAATCGACAACTGGACGGTGCTGACTGTATTACAATACACCATGTCCTCCTAATTGACCTGGGCACGGTAAGTTCCACGTAGTGGTTCTCGTTGCAAAGAAAAAGTCGCAAATCTTATAAACAAAGATGTCTCGATTCCACCGGTCCAACTTACGGAAAATATGGAAGTTGGACCCATACCGTAGCAACGGTCTATTACGGCTTTGGGCAGACCGCATGTCAGCCAATCAGAATTAAGGAAATTTACAAGCCATATAATAAATAGAGTTTATTACATAAGTCGCGCGGCATGCCCATTACCTTTTCGGTAATCTGTATGTTGTAAGATCGTAATAGTGTGGTGGTGCTGCGATTTTGACATGCAGGCACCAAAACTTGGCACAGATGGGGTGCCAAAAAAATTGAACCTAAGGAGGGAGGGGCAGTTTTATCTCGAACACGTAATATCCCTTATTTTTTGCCCATTAAGGTATCTGGATACAGTTGTTTAGAACACCGACTGGGACGAAAGAAACGGGTCAAAAAGTAATTTAAGTTGGTCAGATCGTAAYAATATTYTACTACAYRATTAACAAGGGATTCAAATTCATATTGAGTAAATTTTTGGAAAATCGGATTTAATCTATGCGTTTTATGGGGAAATCCTGGAAAACGCTTTTACAGCTATTTCAAACAAATTAAGCCTATTTTTTCCGCGATATCTCAGGGACATAATATTAGWGGTATTGCCTAACTATATCCAAAGTTTGGTCGAAATTCATCGAGGAAAGACAACATCATGCGGTACTTAACTTGGAGCAAGAATTTTCAAAGAAAAAGAAAAAACGACAACTAATACCCTTGCATAAATTGCGATGTAACTGCGAAATCTCTGATGCAAAATGTACGTTTTTAAAAAAAWTCTTGCGTCCGTTGTAAATAATCAATYCAAACTCAGCGAGATGCGAAAACACTCCAGGGGTTTTGGCTTTATGGACAGCAAATTTAAAACAAATTCTAGGATTCGATTTCGAGTTAAAGCTGTCAGAATCTGTTTATCTCAAAAGAGCTAGCATGCACTAAARACATACCTTTTGCTTCATAGCTCTAACTCCCCAACGAATTGGTGTACACTGCTTAAGCTCTGCATGAACGTAGTAATATGATATGAAAGYTCTTTTGCAGAAATTGGTCAATRTATATTTGATACAAAATAAAATGTAAATTTTTGATTTTGTATTGATYGTTTTCACCCATTCCCATGAGATTCAAAAGATAAAAGACCGGCGGCCATGTTGGAGGAATGAACAATWGATACTAMTRAGAAMTYBTTTGTTAAAGTTCCTCCAAGATGGCCGCTGTGACGTAACCTGCAAACCAAAAATACGCTCTTTTTCTTTGGAAATTCTTGCTCCAAGTTAAGTACCGCATGATGTTGTCTTTCCTCGATGAATTTCGACCAAACTTTGGGTATAGTTAGGCAATACCTCTAATATTATGTCCCTGAGATATTGCGGAAAAAATAGGCTTAATTTGTTTGAAATAGGTGTAAAAGCGTTTTCCTGGATTTCCCCATAAAACGCTTAAATTAAATCTGATTTTCCAAAAATTTACTCAATATGAATTTGAATCCCTTGTTAATTATGTAGTAGAATATTATTACGATCTGATCAACTTAAATTACTAAAAAAAACAAACAAAATAATAAACAACTAGACGATCAGCGATCGTTTACATGGGCTTCCTGTGGTCTATCCCAATCAGTAAATGATATTGAACCCTAATGAAATTAATATTACTAAGACAACAGCAAAAAAAGATTTCCTTTAATAAAAAATAATCAAGCAAGCAATGTACTTAGTAGAATTTAATAATATTGTGAAAGAAGTAATTTATGTCTGACGAGCCGTTACTTTAAGAGTCGCATCCTTGGCTGTATTAAACACAGATCGATAGTCTTTCATGTTCTTCGCTTAAAATACTTCCAATCCTCTGTTTTTTCTCAGTATAAATCTGTTGACATGTCTTGAATAAGTCCTTGGTGATTGTAGAGCCGGTACTAGTATAAGTTTGCTTTTGATAAGCTAATGTTTGATAGATATTAATTCACGATCGGTAGATTCACGATAAATTCGCCGTATCTCTCCAAATGCCCTTTTGAGAAACGCTCGAATTGTTTTAGTGTGGCTATGCCGCGAATGGTGTGTGGATTTGTAAAAGAATCTAGCGTTCGACATGTTCGATCTTAATAAAACTTTGCCGGCTATACGAAGGTCCGAAGAAGCACGAGGCGACGTTTGAATCGTTGCTTAGAAACATGAATGACAGTAAGACAATAGATGTCAAAAATGAAAAGGTCCCGGATATAATTTGAAGCATACCACAGACGAAAAACGTCGGTAATTTAAGACATGGTCTTCCCATGTAATTAAGGAGAGATAAGGCATCTCATAGAGAAATATCTTTATAACAACTTGATGTACATTTTAGCACATTAAGATGGCTTCCGATTGTTCTTTTTCGACCATACCTCTCCTTTTAACTTTGCTTTTTGAAAATCTTGCAATACACCGATTTTAATCACACATGTGTGATATCACTCTCATCCAATGAGCTCTCGGTAATTTCGCGCGCTGCCACATGAATCCGCTCTCTCAACTTTTACGACAACGAACGAAAACACCGTTTACTACTCAAGATCCCCATCATCGGTAAAAAGGCCAACTATCTAAAATTATGGCCTTTAGATTTGTTGATGTGACAGTTAAAGGCGGAGCGAGTTTCTAGATTCGAAAGAAAATGTCAACACTAAGAGAAAAACATCCTGTGATGTGGAGCTTTTCAAAACACTCATTCGTGAAAATCATCAAAATCAACTGCAAGATCAACTAATTCACGAGCTTGAACCAAAGGTTCTGAACGAGCTTCTTTGTAAGTTTCTCTATGGAGTCAGAAAAAAAGACGGTACAGAACACGAGCCATCGACTATAAGAGGCTTTCTGTCAAGCATTCAAAGACATTTGGACAAACACGACTACGGTTTGACAATTCTCAACGATCCACAAATCAAAGGTACAATTAATGGCTACTCTTAAGGCAAAGCAAAAAGACCTAAAGGCGAAAGGATTTGGGAATAAACGAATGACATC